CTGAGCGTAACGTGGAAAATGATTTTTTAAAGATATTTAATCTTTTTGATGATGATGCCACTGGAAAGATAACTTTCGAAAATTTAAAACGTGTCGCTAAAGAATTAGGTGAGGATATTACCGATGATCAATTAAGAGAAATGATTGAAGAAGCTGACTTGAATGGCGATGGTGGTGTTGATCAAGATGAGTTTATTCGTCTCCTTGCAAAGACAAACTTATCTAATTAAATTAGCGAGGTTCCATTTGTTATTTCTGATTGGTATACCTTATTTTTTTTTATAGATTTCAATAAACCTTATTAACTGTAAATGAAATTATATAGCAATTTAAGCATTCAAATGAAAGAAATATGTACATTTCGGCGGAATTGGCCTTTTTAATCAGACCCTAAATTAATTATATCAAATTAATAAATTATACGGATATCAGTTAGTATATCGGAGAATTACATATTTTATTAATTATTAATAAAATGAATAGGGTTCAAATTCAGATGATCTAAAAAAGGTCCAATTCCGCCAATACGCCGAAATGATAAGATGCCGTTCTTCCTCCTTCCATTACTATATTTTTTTCACTTCATAGAAGTTTTGTTTCTACATTCAAGATTTACTCTTTGAAGACTCTAAGTCGTTAATATTTACAATTTACTTTTTATTTGTAGATAATAACTTATTGTTTAAAATAATGTCACGGCTGATGCTGAAATTTGGGGCTCGATTTAAAAACATAAGCTTCGCTAAATCCACCTATACTCTTTAAATATCAAATCTAACCCTAAACTCCCCAAAAATTTTAAAATTTCATATAAAATAGGTTCAAATTTCAGCATTAGTGACAAAATATGCCATCTTATAAAAATTTGAATAATATTTACAAGAAAAAAACCAATTATATACGAGGTGTTTGAAACCCAGATATAATTTTTATTTTTTATTTTTTATTAGCTTTTTGATAATCTTGCAATAATAAAATACTGTATTATTTATAAACAAAGTGTTTTTTCAAAATTGCAAGCCCAATATTTTCTGGCTTAATAAAATGTGTTTGTTATACCAACTTATATATAAGTTGGAAAACTTTGTTAGTTCATTTAAAGTTAATATTTTTAATTTTTCTTTTTTTATTAAGAGCAAAAAAAGCCTTCAATTTTTTTTACTGAGAGCAAAAAAAAGCAATATTTCTGTATTTACAATACAAAAATTTATAACAAGAGACAAAAAGATAAAATAAACTAAAAAAAAATTAAACAAATAATGAAAAAACAAAATTTAAAAATAAAAATAAAGTAATAAAAAAATATAAAAAATAAAAATAAAAAAAAACCCAAGTGTTAATAAAATCAAAAAAAAAACTATTTCTATCAAAAAATAGCAATATTAAATATAATTTTGAAATAAAAAAATATATAACTTGTATTACTAGTTGAAATTTTTTTATATAATAGAATAATATAAAGATAATATATAAAAAAACCAACACCCTAAAATCGGCTACAAGCTATAAAACTGATTAATAAAATCATATAAATATCAGTCTACCAATATTATAAAGATTAATAAAATAGTAAATTATAATTCAATATAAAGAAAATAATAAAGCGATAAGATTAATTAACAAAAAATAATAAGTAAACAATTTTACATTAAACAAAAATATTATAAAGAAATATTTAATTAATATAAAACAGCAAAAGTTAACCTAATAAGCAATAATATATCAGCAAAATATATTAACATAATTCTACATAAGTTATTATACTCTGAAATATTGCGCAATAAATTACAAAATATTATGCAATATATAATATAATATTATGAAATATATTTTTAATATTACAAAATTTATAATGTAATATTAGGCCATATAAAAAAAATTTTTTGGTTTTCATATCCCGGCCGGGTCAGAATTCACTAAGCCCCAAATTTTTTTTTTATGGCGCAGCAGATAAATAGCCAATAGAAATGCGCGATTATCTAATTGATACTCGAAAAAATTTATTTCAATAATATAATATTTCGCTTATACAAAGATTTACAAAGATATTTTATAACAGTTTAGTAATAGTATAGTACTGTAGTAAACTTCATAATTTAACATTTGTAATTAACGCCTAACACTAATTATTTAGTTTGACATTGTTTTTCCTTTTTATTTGTACTTTGAGCCCATTTAAACCGTTTTTTTGGTAAAGGTTTTCTATTACATTTAACACACAAAGGCCGTTCGTCCTTTGGAGATTTTATTACGTTTCGATTTCTGCACAAGTAGCAAACAAGAGGGAAGATTCCTGCCGAATAATACGGCTTTTTAATCAGTAAAGCGCAATTCCAAGAATCATTTACGAAAACCCGCTGAAAAAGTTTATACAAAGGATCTACTATGAAGTTCTCTTCAAATCCATCCTCAGTTTTAGCAGAATTTTTGTCATTCATTCCATCCTCCTCCTCACTGTAACTATCTTTGTCATTAACTTCATTTTCATCGTCACTAATTTCAGTACTTTCTATATTCAAATAAGTAGATTCGGCAATTGCATCATCAGTTTGTTAATTTTCATCAAGTTGTTGTTTATCCTCTCGAAGGTCATCACTTTGCAGGTCGTCACCTTGTAGGTTGTCACCTTGTAGATCGTCACCTTGCAGGTCGTCACCTTGTAGGTTGTCACTTTGCAGGTCATCACTTTGCAGATCTTCATCTTGGTTGTCATTATCATTAGTGGCGGCAGTATTGGTTGTGGTGGTGGATGCGAGATCACAGGTATTATGAAATGACATTCCACATGTATACAAAATTGTGTCAAGAAAAGATTCTAGCATTTCACGTTCTTTTGCTAATAATTTTTTTATGCTAAATAGTAAATGTGGTTTTTCACATTCTGAACAAATCACAGTAATTCCGACGTTTTTTGCATGTATAAAAGAAGGGCTAAATGGCATGGTATGTTTTGCTACAATAGTAGCTTTTGCTTTACCTGATTTTGTAGTTTTCAATCTAGTGAAGGTCTATGATCCTCAGTTGTAGGTGTGCCATATAGTTCCTCGAATGACTTATAATGAATACCTTCACCTGGAACCGGATCGGGAATGCAATGAAGTTGTCCAAATTCCTCTTGGGAACATCGAGGCGGTAAACAAATTATACATGTTTCACTTCCACATTTCTTAATAGTAAAAAAATAATGCCTTATTTTACAGCAGTGTTCCATGAATTCCTTCAACCATGGCTACAAGAAGACAAGTATCATTATTAATTATATTATATATATAACTCGACATCATCCTAAGTAGCAAAAACATTGTTCTTGATCCACTTGACTATTTTTATTGACCTGCTCAAGAAAAAAGTTAATGTTTTTAATGAGTACATCAGCAAAAATATATATGCGTAAACTTTCGTAAGTTTTTACGGTGCGTAAAAAAATCGTAAACTTACGTAAAATTTAGCGTAAAACTACGTAAATCTTACGGTGCATAAGAAAATCGTAAATTTACGT